GGAAATTGAGGAGATTTTGGGGTAAAATTGAGATTTGGGGGGTTTGAGGGGAAATTGAGGAGATTTTGAGGGGAAATTTAGGAGATTTTGGGGGTTCGGGCTGAAATTCAGGAGGTTTGGGGGGTCCTGAGGGGATTTTGGTGTAAAAATGAGGGAATTTAGGGGGTCCTGAGGGGATTTTGGGGATCCTGAAGGGATTTTGGGGTGAAAATGAGGGAATTTGTGGTGAAAATGAGGAAATTCGGGTGGTCCTGACAGGATTTTGGTGTGAAAATGAGACATTTTGGTGTAAAAATGAGGAATTTTGGGGTAAAATGAGGGATTTCGGTGTGAAAATGAAGAAATTTGGGTGGTCCTAAGGTGATTTTGGGGGAAAAATGAGGGAATTTGGGATAAAATGAGGGGTTTTGTTGGGTCCTGAGGGGATTTTGGGGTCCCCAAGGGTAATTTTGGGGTGAATTTCAGGTTTTTTAGGGTTTTTTTTGGGATTCCTCACCCCAAGCCCCACAGAGGAAACAATTTGGAGTCTTTAAAGTGTAATTTTGGGGCAAATTTCAGGTTTTTAATGAATTTTGGGGGTTTTTTGTACCGCAAAATGGACAATTTATGGTCGCAAGGTGCAATTTTGGGGCAGATTTGGGGTTTTCCATGGGGGTTTTTTAGACTTTTTCCCCAAAATGGACAATTTAGGGTCTCAAAAATGCAATTTTTGGGGCAGATTTGGGATTTTTTATGAGTTTTTGGGTTTTTTTTCCCCAAAATGGACAATTCAGGGTCTCAAAGTGCAATTTTGGGGCAGATTTGGGGTTTTCCATGTGGTTTTTTTTGGATTTCTCCACAAAATACATAATTTTGAGTTTCCAAGTGCAATTTTGGGGCAGATTTCGTGCTTTTAATGAATTTTTTGGGGTTCTTCTGCACAAAATGGACAATTTAGGGTCCCAAAGTCCAATTTTGGGGCAGATTTGGGGTTTTTCATGGGGATTTTTTCCCCCAAAATTAATAATTTGGAGTCTTTAAGTGCAATTTTGGGGCAGATTTGGGATTTTTTATGAATTTTTGGGTTTTTTCCCGCAAAATGGGCAATTTGTGGTGCCAAGGTGCAATTTTGGGGCAGATTTGGGTTTTTCCATGGGGATTTTTTACACTTTTTCCCCAAAAGGGACAATTTAGACTTCCTAAGTGCAATTTTGGGGCAGATTTCGTGCTTTTAATGAATTTTTTGGGGTTTTTCTCCACAAAATGGACAATGTAGGGTCTCAAAGTTCAATTTTGGGGCAGATTTAAGGTTTTCCATGGAGATTTTTTTAGACTTTTTCCCCAAAATGGACAATTTAGGGTCTCAAAAATGCAATTTTGGGGCAGATTTGGGGTTTTCCATGGGGATTTTTGGGATTTTTCCCCAAAATGGGCAATTTAAGGTCTCAAAAGTGCAATTTTGGGGCAAATTTCATGTTTTAAATGGATTTTTGGGGTTTTTTTTTCCCACAAAATGCACATTTTGGACTCTTTAAGTGAAATTTTGGGTCAGATTTCGTGCTTTTAATGAATTCTTGGAGGTTTTTCTCCCCAAAATGGACAATTCAGGGTCTCAAAAATGCAATTTTGGGGCAGATTTGGGGTTTTCCACTGGGTTTTTTTGGGGGTCTTTTCCACAAAATGAATAATTTGAAGTTCCTAGGTTTAATTTTGCGGCAGATTTGGGTTTCTTTATGAATTCTTGGAGGTTTTTCTCCCCAAAATGGACAATTCAGGGCCTCAAAAATGCAATCTTGGGCCAGATTTGGTGTTTTTTTCACGGAGTTTTTTCCCCCCCAAAATGAATAATTTGGAGTCTTTACGTGCCGTTTTGTGCCAGATTTTTTTATGATTTCTCCCCCCAACCCCCCCCAAGACCCTTCCAGAACCTTCTCTCCCCGTTTCCAGGCGCGATGGAGGTGACGGTGGGGACGGCGGCGCTGGCGCTGGCGCTGCTGCTGCTGCCGCTGCTGTACGAGCGCTGCGGCTCCTTCCGCTTCTTCTGCAAGATGGGATTCTACAACGGCTGGATCCTGCTGCTGGCCCTGCTGGCCATCCCCCTGTGCGCCCTGCGGGGCCGGGACGTCGAGAACATGAAGTGAGAGGGGTTTTGGGTGGAATTCCGGGCGTTTTGGGTCATTTTGGGGTCATTTTGGGTCAGTTATAGGGAGATTTGGGGTGGTTATTGGGGGATTTGGGGTGGTTTTGGGGCTCCTGGCCATCCCCCTCTGCGCCCTGCGGGGCCGGGACGTCGAGAACATGAAGTGAGAGGGGTTTTGGGGAGAATTCGGGGGATTTTGGGTCATTTTGGGGTCATTTTGGGTC